TTAGAAGGAGATTTAGATGAGATTTTGATGAGGATTTTGATGGGATTTTGCAGGGGGGTTTAATAGGATTTAGTGGGGGGTTGGGGGGTGTTTTGGGGGCTGTGTCCCACCTGCTCCCGGGTCTCCTCCAGGGACATCCTCTCCTCCAGCTCCTTCCTCCGCCGCCGCTCCTGCTCCTCCCGCACCTTCTGCTCCATCATCTTGTCCACCTCCTCCTCCTCTGGAGGGGGGCAGAGGGGTCATCCAGGTGGTCTCAGGGGTCAAGGAGGTCTCAGGGGGGTCACGAGGGATCAGGGGGTCACCCGAGGTCAGGAAGGTTACCGGGGGCACGAGGCACCTTTACTTTCTCACCTTTATTTTCTCTCTCACCTTCATTTTTTTTTTTTTCATTTTCTCTCCCTCTCCTTTATTTTCTCTCTCCCCTGGATTTTCTCTTTCCTGTGATTTTCTCTCCCTGTTCTCTCAGCCTCTCCCTGGGGTGACACTTTCCCACTCCACGTTTTCCCAGACAATTCCCTATCAATCCCTTCACACCCAAACTGCTTCAGAACTGCCCCGGGATACAAACACAGAACTGCAGAACTCAAGAAAATAAAACCACCAGATCTCAGCTTGGGGCCTGCACGGGGAGAGGGGCAGGGTCTGTTAACATGGAGACGCTTTTGGGGGAGGGGGCGCGTTGTTATGGATTCACCGGCGGGCGGAGTCTAAAGTTGGGGGGGGGTTGGTCCGTGGTTATTCGGGGCAAGGGGTGGGACCTGTTGCTATGGAGATACACGGGGAGGAGCCTGTTGCTATGGAGACGCGAAGGAGGTGTGGCCATGGGGGTCCCTGTTGCTATGGAGACATAAGGGGGCACGGCCTGTTGCCACAGAGACGCCGGGGGACCCCCTTCCGGAGTGCGTGGCTTGTGGACACGGTGACTCCAGACGAACCCCCTGAATGGGCGGAGCCCGTTGCCATGGAGACCCCAGGGGCAGCCCCTCTCCCCCTCCCGCTGCCTTTTTCGAACCCGCCCTCCCCCACGACCCTCTCCAGGCCTCCTCCCCCCCGGCCCCGTTACTGCCCTTACCCTGACGCTTGCGCTCCCGCTCCACCATGACGTGCCGGTGCAGCGCCCGCGCCATGGCCGAGCTCAGCTTCGGCCGCTCGAGAAGCGCCGGCATCGTGGGGGACGCCGCGGAGGCCGCCGGGACCCCCTCAGGGAGGGCCCCGCGAGCGGTAGAAGGGGAGCGGCCCCCGAGGACCGACGGACGGGCCGAACCACAGAGCGACCGACGGTTGGAACAGCGCTGCGCGCTTCCGCTTCCGGGGGCAGGACACGCCCCCGCCGCCAGCGCGAACGAGGCTGAACCACGCCCACACAGCCGGGAGCGAGGCTGAACCACGCCCACACAGCCGAGAACGAGGCTGAACCACGCCCACAGAGCCGAGAACGAGGCTGAACCACGCCCACAGAGCCGAGAACGAGGCTGAACCACGCCCACAGAGCCGGGAGCGAGGATGAACCACGCCCACAGAGCCGAGAACGAGGCTGAACCACGCCCACAGAGCCGAGAACGAGGCTAAACCGCGCCCAGCGAGCGGCCTGTGAGGTGAAACCACGCCCCCCGAGGCGGGAACGAGGCCAAACCGTGCCCAGCACGGGAGCTGAGGCGAGGCCACTCCCGCGGGAAAGCGAGGGAAAAGTCAAGCCGCGCCCACCCTGGAAGTGAGGGGAAGCCACGCTCTTTTAGTGCCGTGGGCGGATGCGGGGTCTAAGGTCACGCCCTCCGCGGTGAGACCACGCCTCCTTTCAGTCTGGCCACGCCCCCAGGGACCCTTTCCTCAACTGCCTCTTGAACCCCCTCTCTCCCAAAGTTCTCAATTCTGCCCCTCCCCCATCCCAGGGACCCCCAAATTTCCCTTCCCCCGATCCCCACCCCCCATTGGGAGTCTCATTCTGCCCCTCCCCCACCCAAAGACCCCCTGCCACCCCAAACCCTCCCCTCCCCCACACACCACTCGTAGTTTCTCTCTCACGGTTTTTATAACCGGGGGGGGAGGGGAAAGAAGGGGGAGGGGAGGGACCATGGGAACCCCCTGGCCCCTCCCCCCCCCCCCCCCCCGTAGCAGCTTTAAACAAAAAGTCTTTTTTTTAACATAGAAAACCCCACAAACCTCCCAACCCTCCCCCCGACCCTTTGTCCCCAAAACCCCCCCCTTCCCTTCTCCCCCCCCGCGGATTCACATTTGGGGCAATAAATAAAGGGGGAGGGAGGGAGGAGGAGCAGGGGGTGTGCAGTGGGAGAGGGGGGGCAAGTGCTGTGACACCCCTCCCCCAAAATTGGGGTGAAATCACCCACAAAAATGGGCTCAGGGACCCCCAATTTTGGGTCAGAGACCCCCCGAAATTGGAGTCAGAGTCCCCCCCAAAACTGAGGTGCAAGCCCACAAAATGGGGTCAGAGACCCCCCCTAAAAATGGGTTCTGGGACCACCCCAAAAATTGAGGTCAAAGACCCCCCCAAAACTGGGTTGAAACCCCCTGAAATGGGGTCAGAGACCCCCAAAATGGACTCAGTTACCGCCCAAAAATTGAGGTCGCAGACACCCCTCCCTTCAAAACTGAAACCCCCTGAAATGGGGTCAGAGACCCCTCCCAAAATTAGGCTGAACCTCCCAGAAAAATAAGTTCAGGGACCCCCCCCAAAAATGAGGTGAAATACCCCCAAAATTGGTGTGAAACCCCCAAAATTGGGGTCAGAGAGCTGCAGAAGGAAGATCTCCATCCCTTTGAGGAGGTCTTATTTTGGAGGAATTTCCCAAATTTGTGGGGGTTTCCTATCCCTGGGGGGGGCATCCCCATCCCTGGGGGGGTCCCCATTTTAAGGGGGGTCCCAATCTTGGGGGTTTCCATTGTTCCCATTTGGCGGGAGGTGGTGTGTTCCAACTTTTTGGGGTGGAATGTGTCCCAATTTTTGGGGGGGTCTGTTCCCCATTCCCCCATTTTGGCAAGGTTAGCAACTTTTTTGGGGAGGGGACTCCCACCTCCAGGGGGGGTGTCCTCCACATCCAGAGTTCCCATTCCTTGGTTTGGGGGGGGGTCCCCCTTATTCCCCTCCAGGGGGTCCCCCAATTCCTGATGGGGGTTCCCCAATTTGGGGGGGGTCCCAATTTTTAGGAGGAGTGTTCTCCACTTTTGGGGGAGCATCTCCAATCCAGGGGGGTCCTCTTGACCCCCCTTCCCTCCAAGGGGTCCCATAATTCCTGGGGGGATGAGTTCCCCTCTGATTTTGGGGAGCCCCCCCCAGCCCTCAGTCGACGCGGACAAGCAGCCCAGCCAGAACGGTGGCCCCAGGCTCCTTGGTGACCCACTCGAGCTGGGTGGGGTCCAGCCCCTCAGGGGGATCCAGGGACGGGGGGGGGCGCAGGGAAGGGGGGCCAGCCCGGAATGACCCTGGACGGACCCAAACCTCGAAGGCCACCTGAGCCCCCCGGGCACGAGGCCAGCCTGGCTCCCGGAACCTGGGGAGGGGGAAATGGGGTTAGACCTCCCCAGACCCCTCTGACTCCCCTAAACCCACCC